GGGCGCTTCGTGGGGGCTGCCTTGTGGGGACCCGGGATGCCAGGCTTCTCTGGCACAGGGTTACAGGTGCGGGGTGCTTCGTGGGGGCTGCCCTGTGGGAACCCAGGGTGCCAGGCTTCCCTGTGTCTCTCTCAGGATGGCCCTTTGGCCTTGGCTTACTCCTGGCTACCTGCCTTCGGCTTTTCGATTCTGTCCCTGCGTACACACTGCCCTTGGAGCTTGCTTTTGTTGTTGTTCACTGTGTCATTGGGCTCCTGTAGCAGAAGCTCATTTGTTAGCATTGGGAGTTGGAGTAGTGTGGGTATCTTCGCGGGCGTCATGGCTTCTTGGTTGGCTATTGACAGGAATCGTTTGCTTGATGGTCACCCAGGATGTTGGCCGGGGTCACCTTTTTACTTAGTTATTGGACCTTGCCTTTCGCAGCCGTGCTCAGAGGGGCGCCGGAAACCTGTGGTTACCCGAGGGGGCCATGGACTGCCCCCTACCCTCACTCCATCTCATTTCCTTTCCTGACGATTCTACGCTTTCCAGGGATGATAGAAATCGATAGTTCTGTTTAATCTCAGGGTGGATTCTTCACCACACTTGATCTGAGCCAAAAGGCCGAGAAGCAATAGAATTCTTGGTGGGCTTAGAATCTTGAATATAAGAATGATTACCGGGCCCGGCGCGGTGGCGCAAATGGTTAAAGATCCTCGCCTTGCACGCCCGGGATCCCATATGGGCGCCGGTTCTAATCCCGGCGGCCCCGCTTCCCTTCCAGCTCCCTGCTTGTGGCCTGGGAAAGCAGTCGAGGACGGCCCAAAGCTTTGGGAACCTGCACCCGCGTGGGAGACCTGGAAGAGGCTCCTGGCTTCGGATCGGCATAGTATCGACCCGTTGCGCTCACTTGGGGAGTGAATCATCGGACGGAAGATCTTCCTCTCTGTCTCTCCTCTCTGTATATCCGCCTTTCCAATGAAAAAATAATAAAAATAAATCTTTAAAAAAAAAAAAAAAGAATGATTACCTAGTTGAGGATGCCCGTGAGCACCCAAACACACTGGTAGGTTTGCACAGAAACAACAAACCAACCCATCTTGGTTACCTCATGACATCCCACCACTCACCAAAGCTCTGTCTTGAAAATTGAGTTGTTTTATTATTAATTTTTTACTTGAAAAAGAGGGGACGAAGAGGGAGAACCTTCCATTCATTGGTTCACTCTGCAGGTGGCTGGGTCAGCGACAGGAATTCTCAGTGTCTCCCACATGGGCAGTGTGGACCCAGCTGCTTGAACCATCACTTGCTGCCTCTCAAGGAGTGAGTGGGCAGAAAGCTAAAATCCAGAGCCAGCCTGGGGCCTGCCTGCCTTCTGTTTTAATTAAATAGTTACCAGATCTTTTCCTCATCGCCAGACTTAAGAGGTTGAAGTAGCTTTAACATCTCCATGTTGAGAATTTGTATTTGGGAAGAAAAAAAACCTACGTTCACCTGAACATTTAAGTTTTAGTAAAAGATTAAATATCTGGATGCTTTAGTGGTTAAAGATAAAGTACAATAAAGTGATTGGATACTTCTGTGTTGCGCATACAGCTAGGGTTTGTAGTCTTCAAGGTAAATGTGAGATAGCTGATAGAATTCCTCTTGTAAGCAGAAAGTTGAAGCAGTTTGCCCTTTATGACTTAGCTAAATACTTTCTGCTGTATGGATTAGTCCTCTCATCTTGAGCATGATCAGTTGTGCCCCATTTAAATCCATTTTGCCTGCTGTGGCCAGAGTGACCCAGTAGGTGAGACCACTGTGGGCTTCCTGAACACCTCTCAGGGCTTGCATTGGGCCCGCAGTGTAACCCTTGTATGCACGATGGCACTTCAGAAGTCTGTGGGAAAATGGAATTAGAAGAGAAGTTCATTGCAAGAAGTATTTTTTGAATGTTTCTGTGTAACTTTTTCTTGATATAGTTTGTTATGAACTTTCTTTTTTAAAAAAATTTCCTTTATTTTATTAATTACATTGCATTATGTGACACAGTGTTATAGGCATTAGGATTTCCCCCACCCCTCCCTAAACCTTCCCCCCATGGTGGATTCCTCCACCTTGTTGCATTGCCACAGTTCAAATTCAGTTGAAATTCTTTCATTAGAAGTATTAACCAAGTATTAAGTCCAGCATCTTATTGTCCTGGTAAGTTCAACGGTTTCTTGGAGAGACCATCTCTGGTCTGAAGGTAGAGCCGGCAGAATATCATCCCGATCAATTAAAAGCCCCAACATTACATTAGCTTGTTATGAAGTTTCTAAAAATCTCATGTATAGATTTTAGAATTTTTTGGTATTAGTAGAAATGTAAATGAAGAGAAATAGAAATTTTAAAAAATACTTATTTTTGGGCTCAGGGTGGTGGTCTAGTGGCTAAAGTCCTCACCTTGAAAACACACCGGGATCTTATATGGGCTCCAGTTCTAATTGTGGCAACCCCACTTCCCATCCAGCTCCCTGCTTGTGGCCTGGGAAAGCAGTCAAGGATGGCCCAAAGCTTTGAGACCCTGCACCCGCATGGGAGACCTGGAAGAGCTCCTGGCTCCTGGCTTCAGATTGGCTCAGCCCTGGCCATTGTGGTCATTTGGAGAGTGAATCATCGGACGGAAGATCTTCCACTCTGTCTCTCCTCCTCTGTATATCTGACTTTGTAATAAAAATAAATAAATCTTTTAAGAAGAGATTTATTTTTAATTGAAAGTTGGATTTTACAGAGAGCAGAAGAGACAGCGAGGTCGTTCATCCTAATTTGCTCCCCAAATGGCTGCAGTGGTTAAGGCCTAGCTAATACGGAGCCAGGAGCTTCTTGTGGGTCTCCCATCTAGGTGTCCCAAGGCTTTGGGCCGTCCTCAACTGCTTTCCCAGGCCACAAGCAGGGAACTGGATGGGAAGTGGAGCAGCTGGGACATGAACTGGTGCCCATCTGGGATGCCAACAGTAGCAGATGGAGGATTAGCACACTATGTCACTGTTTGACCTCAAGGATTTTACAAATTTTTTTGTACCAAAAACTCCATTTTCCACATTTTGAGGTCTCCTGTTGTGTTTTCATGTAACCTGTCTTCTTTGACTTGATCCTTAGCTAGCGACCTGTGTTCATGTACTACTCTCTGTCACTTTGGCAGTTGCTTTATCTCAGAACACACCAACCGGTTCTGCACCATTGGATGTTTCTCTCTCTTTTTTTTCCTAAGATTTATTTATTTTTATTGCAAAGTCAGACATATATATAGAGAGAGAGAGGAAGAGAGACAGAGAAATATCTTCCATCCGATGATTCACTCCCCAACTGAGTGCAACGGCCAATGCCATGCCAATCCGAAGCCAGGAACCAGGGACTCTTCCAGATCTGCCATGCGGATGCAGGGTCCCAAGGCTTTGGGCCGTCCTCCCAGGCCACAAGCAGGGAGCTGGATGGGAAATGGGGCTGCTGGGATTAGGACCAAAGCCCATATGGGATCTTGGTGTGTTCATAGTGAGGACTTCAGTTGCTAGGCCACGGCTCTGGGCCTGGATGTTTTTCTTTTCTCTCGTGTTTCTTCTTCATTGTTCTCTAGTTTACTCGTTCCTTCAAGATGCAACTCTAGGTTGGTAGTGATAATTCAAAAGTTAACGCTTCTCCAGGAAATCTTTGATTACTTGTGAAGTGTTTAATCTTCTGTGTCCCGGAAGCCTGAAAAATGCATACATTGTGTTTCTAGCTTCTCTTTCCCATTTCTTACTTGTTTGACTGCAAGTTTACCAAGCATCCCTGATGCTGGGTACAGTGTCATTAAATAAATGCTAAGCTCATTCATTGAACTGGTATAAAATTGGGATTTATTTTATAAATCCCAGGGTCATTTTTTTCAAACTGTGACTTTAGAAGTTGGAAATAAGGCAATTAATTATTATCAAGATTCTTACTTTTAAAATGGTCTAACCTGGGTGCTCCAGTGGTGCAGTAGGTTAGCATGGCAGTACTTAGCAGATGGTCTGACTTTTTCAGCAGAAACTATATTCTTTAATTTATTATTATTGTTGTTGTTGTTGTTTAATAAATTCCAAAGTGAGTTAAGAGGTTAACTGAAAAAATTTTTTTTTAATTAGAAACCATGCAATAAAATCGCCATTTTTAAAGTGTACAGTTTGTGGTATTAGGTTTATTCACATGGTTGTATAACCGTCATTGCCATCAACTTGCAGGACTCTTCATGCTCAATGTTGTACATTTATCCTTCAGGTCTTCATTTGAGGTCTTCTAGTTTCAGACTGACTTTCTTTGTTCCCCAATACCATTCCTATAATTCAGAAACCTCTATTTCTTAACTTGTTTCGTGTTTTATCTTCCCAGTAAATTTTTCTTATTTTTGACTATCTATTGCTGCTTCCTTTTCACCCTTTTCTTACATATATTTATTTTTTTCAATGTTTTTTCTTATAAGGTGAATACTTCTTGTGTCTTTCATATTTACAGATTTAGGAGTGTAGTGACCCTTCCAGCCTATCCTCTGTCCTTCCTTCTCTCCTTCCTTCTTGTTTTCTCTTAATTTTTGCAGAGACATAACTTTCGATTTATTTTATGTTCAAAAACTCACTTCTCTGCTAGGTAAAGAATTCAACAGTCCCTTTCCATCCTTCTCTCCTTTAAGTGATCTTTAGCTGCATAGTGATGGTTCTGCGCCTCGGAATTTTGAAGTAATTGAGTGTGCTCATCAATATGCAGAGGTTGCACAGGAGTCCACAAGACTCAGATTTTTATTAACTGTTTTTGTGACATGGTAACTCTGACCTGTTTATCAAAGAAGTTTGATTAAAACTAGTAAAATTTTATTCAAGACATATCATGCAGGTCACTTTTGTTGGTGTTGTAGGTATGGAAACATGAAGGAATCAATTTGACTCAAGAACTAATTAAATAGGTGATCCTCTCAGAATCTTTAAAATGTCAAGTCTTTATTATAATATTATAAATTTTTATAAATGTGATTTTGTTTGCAGTTACCGTAAAATGGGGAAAGGAGAAATTTGAAGGTGTGGAATTGAATACTGATGAACCTCCAATGGTGTTTAAAGCTCAGCTCTTTGCCCTGACTGGAGTCCAGCCAGCCAGACAGAAAGTTATGGTGAAAGGAGGAACGTTGAAGGTAAGATTAGTCCATATTTTCATTAAATACTGTTATTTGTATAGTTAGTAAAAATATTTTATACCAGAAATTGTGTTTATGTAGCATTTGAAGTATTTTCTAGATGCTGAGAATAAATTTTTGAATAGTCTAGAGTTAAAACTTTTATTCATATTAGTGTAAGGAAAGAATGTTATTAGACATCTCAAAACACTGGTTTTTTTTTCTTTTTTTGAAGATTTATGTTATTTTTATTGGAAAGTCAGATATACAGAGAGGAAGAGAGACAGAGAGGAAAATCTTCCATCCACTGGTTCATTCCCCAAGTGGCCACAACGGCTAGTGCTGAGCCAATATGAAGCCAGAAGTCAGGAGCTTCTCCCGGGTCTCTAACATAGGCGCAAAGTCTCAAGGCTTTGTTTCATCCTCTACTGCTTTCCCAGGCCACAAGCAGGGAGCTGGATAGGAAGTAGAGTAGCCAGGACATGAACCAGCACCCATATGGGATCCTGGCACACGCAGAACTAGGACTTAGCCACTTAGCCATTGCACCAGGCCCTCAAAACCTATGAGGAAGGCATTATTTATTTATTTATTTATTTGACTGTAATCTTAGTTGATTAGGGTACAAAGGGTCAAGGGCTATAGGGTGAAAGTGGGTATTATCATTGTTTCTACACTAATACAATCATTTTTCCCTCTATCTGGGGTTAGGGGAGTAGCAAAGGGAAAAGCCACACCCTACCTCCCACCCATCCCCCATCCCCAACATGAGGCGCGCTCCAAGGGTCCTGCTCAAACAGTTTTGATAGTTCATCAGTGCTGGATTGCTGCCAATCTCACCGTCCCAACCGCAATGAAACCTATTCAGAGTCCACTTGCTGATAGTCTCTTGATGGTTGGGGTTCCAAGATCAGCAGTTCAGTTGGAGAGATATCCAAAGAAACTTCATCTGAGTTGATCCCAGATCTGATTCTTGAGTGAGTTTGCTAGTACAGACTCCAACACTGTTCGTCACACCAATCAGCTTATGCACATGCTGGTCGTTGGGATTGCTGGGTCCGTTCGGTTTCCAGCCCTGTCTTCCTCGTGAACCAACGGGTGTTGTAGTCCAGCTCGATCCTACCCACTTCATACTCGGTCTTCATGCAAACCAGTTGGAGCTGCAGCCTAGTTGGGGCAACTCCCCAGAACCCCTACCAGATCTGCCCCCTACCCTGGTTCCCATGCTTGCCAGTATGTACCGCAGGCTTGTCCAGTCTGTCCCACATCCCATTTAGCTCTCGCACACGTCAATAGACATTGAAGCCTAGTTCAACCCAACCAACCTATTATCCAGCCCATACACCCACTGGCAGGTGCCTTTCTGTCTAGCCACCCCTGCTCCTAGCCTGTTTTCGTGCTGTCCAGTGGGGGTGGTAACCCTGAGGGAGGTGCCCACTATTTCCCTACTAGGCCACACCCACTCCCAGAGTATGCAGTCTCCAGGTGGTTTTGGCATTTGACTTGACAGAATTAGCTCCCAGTACCAGCCTCTGCCAGCTAATGCTGTGGCTAAGCCCAGACACCCGTCAACCCACTCTAATTTTACTTGCACAAGTCAGAACAGTCAGCTCACTGTGAGGCCCACAGGTGCTATAGCCCTGCCTAGTCTGAACTCCCATCCCTATTCATGCTTTCCAATGGAAGTAGTTATCCAGCAGGGGTGCCCACGTTCCCCTGTCGGCTTTGAGGAAGGCATCATTTAAAATTTTATTTAGAAAAGTCTAAAAATTGAAAGATGTGGAAACACAGAGACAGACAGATCATCTGCTGGCTTAATCCCTAAGTGTCTACAACTAATGGGCTGGGCCAGGCAGAAACTCAGAAGCTGGATCTCATTTTGGGTCCCCCCCATGTAGGTGTCCATTACTGAAAAAGCCTTCACCTGCTACTTTTCAAGGTGTACACCAACAGGAAGATGGAATGAGAAGTAGAGTCAAGATCAAAGCCAGCACTCTGGCACGTGCTGTGGATGTCTTAACCACTATGCCCTATGTGAATATCTTTGGGGATTCAGGAATGGACTGTTTTACAATAATCTGCATTTTTTCCCTCCAATTAGGATGCAAAAGGCTAATATAAAATCTGTTTTATTTCCTTTACAATTTCCTAGAGAGACAGTCAGGCAAATCTTCCATCCACTGATTTGATCCCCAGGTGGCTGTGTTGGCCAGCACTGGGCCAAGTCAAAGCCAAGAGCCTCATCTGGATCTCCCATGTGGGTGTCAGAGGTCCAGGTATCCACCTTCCACTGCTTTTTCCAGACAATTGGCGGGGAACTGGTTTGGAAGTAAAGCAGTCAGGGCAAACCAGTGCCCATGTGCTGCTGTGCTACAATGCCAGCTCTTACCTCTTAAAAATATGGAACTATGTGGGTAAATCATCATCTTCCTTTTTTTTTTTTTAATAAAAGCAAAAGAAGCAAAAACTCAGACTGACATGTGGCATAGTAAGTTAAACTGCTGCCTGGGACACTGGCATCCCACCGGTTCAAGTCCTGGCTACTCAACTTCTGATATAATTTCCTGCTAATGTGCCTGGGAAAGCCATGGAAGAGTTCTTGGGCCTTTGCCACCATATGGGAGACCTGGATTGGGTTCCAGGTTTCCTGCTTTGGTTCTAGCCAAGCCACTGTCCCAGCCGTTGCTACCAGGGGGGTAAGCTAGCTGATGAAATACCTCTGTATTCCCCCCCCCCATGAGATTTAAAAAAACAACAAGTAAAAAAGCTTTTAAACTGCAGAGTGCAATTTTGTATGTGCATTTCAATCTTGAAATTCAAAGCAGTTTGATAACTTGGTTCTGGAATTCTGGAAAGCTTAATCTTTCTTTTCGTGTTTCTTGCAACAATTACCCATTAAGCATGAGCCCCATTCTCTTGCAAGTAGTTGCTTTCTAACATAACCAGAGATGGGGGAAAATTGTTTTGCTTAAAAAAGAGGGAAGGGAATTTTTCCTTCAGTTTCAAATGATCATACTGACTGTAGTTAAGTGTTTCAGCTGATCAGCATCATTGAGACACGCCACAGATATTTTGTTTATTACTATTTGTAATGTGCAGGTCCAAGTTAAAGAAAAATACTTTCTTCAAGGGATAGATATGAAATGCTAGAGAGCCGTGGTTAACTGTGTAGATGAGGATTGACCAGCCTTGTCTGCTGTACGGTGAAGCACATGTTCGCGAAAAATTGTCCTGCGTATTGAAGTCTGAGTCTTTGGCCGTTAGTGAACTTTATCATAAGATTCTGCAGAAACATACATTAGGGGCCTAACTATGGAGAATTAAGAAAAAATTGTAATTGAATTGTATATGACTGCGACTTGTCATTTATAATTGTCAACTGTGTGTTGCTCATGTTTTTAACAATAGATTTTTTTTTAATTTGAAGGAGTTACATAGAGATGTTTCATCTGCTAGTTCACTCTGCAGGTAATTGCAGTGGCCAGAGCTTTACCAGACTGAGAAGCCAGGAGCTTAATCAGGGTCACCCATGTGGGTGGAAGGATGTGGCCATTTTCCACTGCTTTCCCAGGCTATTAGCAGGGAACCAGATTGGAAGAAGAGCAGCACATCAAAACATTGACGGCCATTTAAAAAAGTGTATTCATCTATTAAAAAAGCAGCCTGACAAGAGAGAGAGGCATCTTCTTCCTCTGATTTACTTGCCAAGTTCCTGAAACAGCTGGGACTGAGCCACACTGAACCCAGGGGCCCAGAACCGGGCCAAGCACTTGGGCCATCATCTGCTCCCTTAACAGGCACATTGACAGTACGCTGTATCAGGAGTAGCGTAGCTGGGATTTGAACTGGCACTCAGGTACTTGTATATCAATGTCCCAAGCAGTGACTTAAACCATTGTCCTACAGCACTACCCCTGTATTATCCGTATTTTATAAATGAGGAAGTTTTTTTTTTCAGTGAGGAAATTTGTTGTCAGAGGTTTGAGTGACATATAGTGAGGCCCAAAAGAGCACGGAACTTAAGCGTCAAGAAGATTTAAACCCCATTCCCAGCTTTATGTGGCCTTTTATGGGAAAGTCATCTGAGGGAACACTTATATTTATCTTCCTTATGACTAGCAGTAGTATCAGTCCCAAGATTAGCTAGTCCCTAAACCAAGAAGGCTTTCAGGAAGTTATGTTCTACTTTAAAGCAAGGTGTCTGAATAGATAACTAGTACACCAAGGAAATGAGATTGAGCAGCAGTACATTCTGTGAAAAGAAAGGAGTCCTGTGGATCTGACTTTGTGCTGTGAGAGGGAAGGCTTAGCTACTGGAGTGCTGTTAGCTGCCATCTGATCAGGACATTAAAGGTGTTTTTGATTGTTTTATTGAACATTGGAGTGAAAGTATTCACTTTGCTTTGGTGTACTGGACTTGACAAACGTGTGCAGATGCAGATATTAGAGTTTGCCTTGGGTAAGATGGTTTACTCTCCTGGTATAATTTATAAAGCACTTGGATTCTCAGGAGTTTCCTTTGGGATTGTAAGTGAGGTAGTTATTCTAATTAAGTAGACCTTATTTCACAAGTTACTTCTTAAAATTAGAACATAAGCTAGTTATCAATTAGCTCTGCTAGTGCCAAACGTACAGAGCATTAGTATATGTCGTTTGTCATTAAGTACTTGCTAAAGGTATTTTTGATAAAGTATAATATAGTGCTGATGCTACCAGATTTACTGTCTTCAATTGTGTTATTTTCAGCAGTTTAAGCAATTGTTAGATTTCTTGATTTTAGATCTACATGTGCTAAAAAGACATTTTTGATTATAGTAATTTGAAATTAATTCATACAGAGTATCTCTTCTGATACTTAGCTTAATTATTAGATTTTGTTGAATTCTTTAAAAATGTATTATTTCTTTGTCTTTGAAACAGGATGATGATTGGGGAAACATCAAAATAAAAAATGTAAGTATTAAGGACAATTGTAAAGCAGTAACCTAATAACTGTACCAAAGCAAATGGGGTTTTGTTGGAGATTGTGTTGAATCTGTAGCTCAGGTTGAGGAGAATGAGCGTCATGACACTAATGAATACTCAAGCCCTTGAATGTGATGTACTACTTCATTGATTGAGCTGTTGGTTCTCTTAGCAGGATTGCACTTTGCAGTATAGTTTTTTTGTGTTAGATTAAAATTTTTTGCTAAGGTTTATGGCTAGAGTATAAAATGCAGCTGGGACTTGTGGAAGGCAGCTGTGTTCAGCACTACCAATGCACCCCAGCAGGTGGTGCTTTTGTTTAAGCCAGGAGCTTCGTCTGCGTCTCCCATGTGGGTGCCGGGCCCAGGACTTGGGCCGTCTTCCATTGCTGTTCTCAGGTATGTTCCCCAGCATTGGGGAGCTGGGTGGCAAGTGGAACAGCTAGGACACAAACTACTGCCCATATGGAATGATTGTATAGCAGGTATCAGCTTAACTCGCAGCATTGGCTCCTGGAATAAGATTCTTTTGTAATGGTTAAGTACTACTTGTCATTATTTTATAAAAAGGCAGAATTATGAGAAATAGGAAGAAACAGCTATATTCCATTAGCTGATTCACTGCCCAAGTGGTCATAGCAGCTGGGGCTGGGCCAGACCAAAGCCAGAATCCTGGTACTCTGTCCATTTAGTTCTCCCACATGGGTGTCCGGGACCTAAGTACTTGGGGTATCTATCCTTGCTTTCCCAGGCATGTTAGGCATCTGGACTGGAAGTGGAACAGTTGGGACACAAAACAGTGCTCATATGGCATGGGATATTGGCATTGCTAGTGGTGCCCTCACCTCGTATACCAATACTGGCCCTGGAGGTATTCTTAAGACTGTTTATTATGCACATTTCCCAACTATAATCATCATTTGAATTTTCTTTATCTTCTCTTTATATCTTTTTTTATTTCCTTGTTTTTAGAATTTGAAAGATGTGCTTATTGGGGCTATTACATGGTATACCAGGCTAAACCTTTGAGTTCCAGCGGTTGTGTTTCTTATCCAGCTCCCTGCTTGTCCTCCTGGGAAAATAATGAAGAATGGCCCAAGGCCTTGGGCTCCTGTGTGGGAGACCCAGAGGAGGCTCCTGTTTCATGGCTTTGGATCATCTCGCCTGCTGATGTGGCGATTTGAGGAGTGAACCAGCGCATAGAGGATCTCTGAATCTTTGTCTCTCCTTCCCTCTCTGTAGTTCTACCTTTTTGATAAACATAAATCCATCTTCTTAAAAAATGTATTTATTTGAAAGAATGACGGGAAGAAAAACAGATCTTCTATCCTCAGATTCACTCCCTAAATGGGTTGGAGCTGGGTAAGGTTGAAGCCAGAAGTCAGAAACTTCATCTGGGTTTCCCATGTCGGTGACAGAGATTCAGTGCAGTTGGGCATCATCCACTTCCAAGGGGCATTAGCAGAGAGCTGGATTGGAAGTGTAGCAACTAGGACATGAACCAGCACTGCAGTTTAAGATGTGAGTGTCCCAGGAAATGGCCTAGCCTACCCTCCTTTTTAAAAAATTTTTTTTTTTTTAAATTTGAAAGACAAGGTGACAGAGGGCTAAGTGTTCTAAATTTCCACTTCTGACCTTCTCTTTGTCTCTTGTGTTCATTTTCCCATTAAAATGCTATGGGGGGAAGTTAGTGTTGTGCTACTGTAGGTTAAACTTACTCCTGTGATGCCAGTATCTCATAAGCACAGTTTAAACCCTAACGGTTCCACTTCTGATCCGACTCCCTCCTAGTGTGCCTGGGAAGGCAATGGGAGATGATCTAGATACTTGGGCCTCTGCATCCGTGTGGGATATTCCAGCGAAATTCCTGGTTCCTGACTTTGGCCTGGTGCAGTTCTGGCTGTTGGGGCCATTTGGAGGAATGAACCTGCTCCTGGAAGCTGCTTCTCTCTCTGTCTCCCTGAGTACGTGTGTAATTGTCTTTCAAGTAAGATAAAGATTAAAAAAAAAAGACAGTAAGAAAGTAAGGTAATATTTATACAGTATTGAATATCCAAGTATTAATGTACGTGATGTTAGGATTGGGTATTTTGAACTGATTTTTCTGTTTGACATGTTTTCCAAAAATGGAGATTTCAGTGCTTTGAAAAGCATTTGTGCAATTGTAAGCATTTGTTGCAGCTAACCAGTAAGCATTCACAGGAAAAATGTTATCACTGATTGGTTTATTAGTGAAGAGGTGATGCTGCTAAATGCTGAAGTGATTGATTCGGCTTCTCCACAGTTTGATTTTAAAGCACTGCTGTTGCTTTAGAAAAAAAGCCATTTAAAAATTACTTCTTTCCAACTCCAGCCCTCTTTCTGTAGATTTCTTTCTCTCCTTTTTAAAAAAAAATAGAATCATGCAGCGTGTGTTCTTTTGCGTCTTTATTTAGACATAAATATAGTCAATTCTAAGGATTTTCATGAGATTACTTTTTTTAAAACAGGGACTGACACTGTTGATGATGGGGTCAGCTGATGCTCTTCCTGAAGAACCCTCCGCCAAAACTGTCTTTGTTGAGGACATGACAGAAGAACAGTTAGCATCTGCCGTAAGACATAGCACGTTTTACATTTGAAACTTATGTTTTGGAAAGTAGCAACTAATGTTTTAAAAGATTCAGTCATTAACCTGTGTAGTTTTTAGTTGTTGTTTAGTTTGAGTGAAATCTTCCACCATCAAATATTTAATTCATAAAATTAGTTGTTATTGGGAATTTTTTGTATCATACCCGTGGATTACTTTTGCTTTCTTAACTTCCAGGTGAAGTTACTTTTTATTTTTATAAAGAGTCTTATTTTACTTGTCAGTCCAAGTTACAGGGTGTTTCAGTGAAGGTGGCTAACAAACAGAGATCCTCTGTCTGTTGGTTCACTCCCCAAATAAGCAAAACGGTCAGAACTGAGCTGACTTGAAGCTGGAAGCCAGGAACTTCCTCCTGGTCTCCATGTGTGGAGCCTTGGTCCACTCTCTCCTGCTTTCCCAAGCCATAAGCTGGGACTGGATCAGAAGTGGAGTAGCCAGGACTAGAACTGGCACAGCAAGAGATGCTGGTACAATAGGTGAAGGATAGCTTATGCTGCCAGGTCACCCCCTGAGATTATTGTTAAGACTGTAATCCTGGGCTTGCACTTTGTGTGTGTGTGTGTTTTAAAGCTTTATTTTTATTGCAAAGTCAGATATACAGAGAGGAGGAAAGACAAAGAGACTTAAGAGGCTCTGGGCTTCTGGCTTCAGATTGGCTTAGCTCTAGCCATTGCAGCTGCTTGGGCAGTGAATCAACGGATGGAAGATCTTTCTCTCTGTCTTTCCTTTTCCATGTACATCTGACTTTCCAATAAAAATAACATATCTTTAAAAATAAGTAAAAGCCCCAAATTAAACTCAACAAAGAAAAACCTCCAGGATTCACTAAAACCTAACCACCAGCCAGGTTAGGACTTGCCTTTAAAGCCATGTGGAGGCATAGGGGATATAGTCTTGGGTGGAGCCCAAGTGACTGTTCAAAGGGAGTAGCGTTGGGAGTTATTTCCTTGCCACATTTTGAAATATTCAAAGTATATGGTAAAGATGGGTCCCTCCTCCCCATGGTGATTTTGTTAAAATGATGTTAGAGTGAATTTGGTCATGTGAAGGCAGAATACATCCTGCACACATATAGGTCATTTTCAAATAGTGCTGGCTTTGCATTTCCAGAGTTTTGCCCCTTATAGTTTCTGCCACATGGAAAAGAGGTGGGAGGCATAGCGGTGCACAGGTATGGGGTTTGGAAGGTGGAAAGAGAGGGAAGTTTGGGTTGTACACAGAAGTGGAAGGGAGTTTGGATAGTGCATAGAAGGGTGCATACTGAGTCTGATTGTTGAATGGGCCTGCAGGGTTCATAGGGAGCGGCCCAGCAGCAGTTTGGCTGGGGCTGTCAGACCTCAGTTCCTTTCCATGGCTACCTACGTTCCCACAACACTAAGATGCACACACTTAGAGAAAATAAAGTCGATACCTGAAATATGTGTCTGGCAGGTGGCACCTTTTCAGTATTTACTATTTTATGAGAAAGCAGCTTAAAAGAATAGTTTAAATGTTCAGATATTTTGATTCTTAAACCCTGTGGAAAATGCATATAGTTTATCTGAATTTAAATGGAAAATCAGGGCCCGGCGCGGTGGCGCAAGTGGTTAAAGGTCCTCGCCTTGCACGCCCGGGATCCCATATGGGCGCCGGTTCTATCCCGGCGGCCCCGCTTCCCTTCCAGCTCCCTGCCTGTGGCCTGGGAAAGCAGTCGAGGACAGCCCAAAGCTTTGGGACCCTGCACCCGCGTGGGAGACCCGGAAGAGGCTCCTGGCTTTGGATCGGCATAGCATCGGCCATTGTGCTCACTTGGGGAGTGAATCATCGGACGGAAGATCTTCCTCTCTGTCTCTCCTCTCTGTATATCCGCCTTTCCAATGAAAAAATAATAAAAATAAATCTTTAAAAAAAAAATGGAAAATCAGTTTAGGAACTGTACAACACATGCGTGTCAAAAATTAACTACTTTTTTTTTTAACCTGACATTTACATGGATGCCATTCATTTTCTAGACTTTTTTCATGTGTTTCCTGAATGTTTTGCTTTCCTCATAGTACACCTCCAAGTAAGGTAGAACTTGAGATGATTGTTCTTTCAATATTTTTAGTAATTTTAAACACAAAATGATTGCCAACTTGATACTTGTCTAGTTTTTCAGGTTTACTGTTTTTGAGAGCAGAGATGGAGAGAAGGGGAGATGGCAAGCACTTGGAGAACTCCTATGTGCTGGCTAACTCGGAGGGGAAGGCAGGACGGCATCTGCTAGTAAAAATTTATGATGGAAAATTGAAACTTTGTTATTCAGGGTAAGGGGAGACTTTAAATTGGTTGGTGCTGGTAAATGCTACTTGATTTTTTTTTTAAAGATTTATTTATTTTTATTGCAAAGTCAGAAATATACAGAGAGGAGGAAAGACAGAGAAGAAGATCCTCCATCCTATGATTCACTTCCTAAGTGAGTGCAACAGCCGGTGCTGTGCCGATCCTGAGCCAGGAGCCAGGATCCCACACGGGTGCAGGATCTGGGCTGTCCTCAACTGCTTTCCCAGGCCAGAAGCAGGGAGCTGCACGGGAAATGGAGCTGCCGGGATTAAAACTGGTGCCCATATGGGATCCCGGCGCGTTCAAGGAAATGGCTTTAGCTGCTAGGCCATGCTGCTGGGCCCACTTCTTGATTCTAAGTGTAAAGATCAGTAATTCATACAAATATATGCTCTGTCATTGCATTAAAATTATTTAATCTGTTCTTTTTTTTCAGATGGAATTACCATGTGGATTGACAAACCTTGGTAACACTTGTTACATGAATGCTACAGTTCAGTGTATTCGTTCTGTACCTGAACTCAAAGATGCTCTTAAAAGGTAAGACTGAAGAGGGGTATTTGAAGATTTTCTTTTACGTAAGGGAGGTTCACATTTGCTTCAGTAAGTATTGGCTCATTTTGTTTTTGATATCTTTATTGGAATGTGATTTTGTAATAATTGGTTTCAGTCTCTGAATATGTTCCAAGATATTTTTCCCAAGGCTGTGCACCTATTACCACAATTTCATTTTAGAATCTTTTTCTCCCTCACTAAAGGAAACACTCATTGGTAATCATATTTTATACCCTTCCATCCATCTCTTGCTGTAGGAAACTACTGATCTGCTTTCATAGAGTTTAACAGTAGACAAGAAAGAGAAATATTATGCAATAGATTTCTCTGAAGTGAATAGTGGATGAAAAATTGCATAGATTCCGGATAATACATGAACCATAGGACCTCTCTTTAAGGCATGCGTATATTGCAGTAAAGATTATCAAGAAAACTGGTACTGTTTAGGACTGGTTTGATGGAGAATTTTGGATTCTGTGTGAATGATCTAAGATGGTAGCTAAGACAGGAGTGTCTCAGGAGACTGGTGAGAACCACATGGAGGAATTGGTGTTTCAGTTGGGAAGGCATTAAGCTGGTTTGGGTGGGAGGTAGGGGGCATGTGAGAATGACTGGAGGAGGAGTTTCATGCCTGATGCTGGAGGTATGGTATCATATCCCACTGAGTGTGTATCTCGTGGAGAAGAAAGGAAGGAAAAGTGTGATCGATGGGCGGAATGAACAGGGGCCAGACAAAAAACACTGGGCGCTTTTAAAGAATGTGGACTTTGTTTTGAAGGTGGAGAAGGAGCCATTCAAAGATACTTAGCAAAGTTCAATTTTTCAGATTATCTTCTGAGTTCCGGATAGCTAATTTTACTCTTTATACTTCGCTTCTTGGTTTTTTTTTTTAATACTTCTCTTGTTTTTAATCTGGTAGAATTTTACTGGAATGTTTTCTGTTCCAAAATATTGCTGAATTTTACCTTTTCTCTTATACTTAGATGATAATATTGTTTGGTATAGAAGATCAGCTCACAAGCATGCAGGGAGTCAGGATCAAGTTCCTGGCTCCTGGTTTCAGTCTGGCTAAACTCTAAACGTTATAGCCAGTTGGTAGAGAGAACTAACTTGTGAAATCTGTTTTTGATTCAGTGTTCACGTGCGTGCGTGTGAGTGTGTGTATCTGTAAATCTGCCGTTCAAATAAAAATTAATCTTTTTTTTTGTAATTTTATTTTAAATTTTCAAATTATGTGGTAAAATTTTGTGTAGACTGGGATTCCTCCCTCCCCCAAACTCCCACCCCCGATAGATTTTCCCCATTTTGCTACAGTGGTTTAGTCCTTTGTAAGGAATTATAATTACATCAGTCTCTTATTTAAGTGTACCCTGACATTGCTGGTACAGACAATGTCAGGAGTCCAGCATCCCTATGTCAACACATGTCCAACAGTTTCATTGGGAATCCATCTCTCGTCTGGAAGCAGGGGTGCATGTTACATTATACCCCCACGTCTGGATATGATAGATCCCAGTACTCAATCACTATACATTTCCATAAATGAGAAGCCATGAAACAAGGTCAACCTCTGGTATGAGTTAGAACAACAGCCAATAAAAATAAGTCTTTAAAAAAAAAAAGATAATTAGATCAAAGATTTTTATCCTTGGTGGTTAGTATTTACTTTTTTTTTTTTTTGCAGGTAGGCAGACAGAGTGACAGTTCCCCCATTGACTGAGTTCCTAAATACCCACAGATGACCAGTGCTGCGCTGGGCCAAAACCAGGAGCAGGAGCTAGGAATTCAGCAGGGCCTCCTGTGATGTAGGGTCCGTAGTATTTCATCCGTTACCTGCTGCCTCCCAGTTTGTGCATTAACAGGAAGCTAGAATTGGAAGCTGAGCTGGGACTCAAGTTCAGGGCTCTCTGATAGAGTGTGTGGGTGTTCCAAGTTGCTGTGTCTTCACTTCTGGACCAAAGGCCTGCCATATATATAAAATTTTGTGTGTATGTGTATATATATATAAAAAGAGATTTTTGATCTGCTGGTTCCCTCCACAATGACCACAATATCCAAGGTTGGGTCAAGCTGAAGTCAGAAACTTGAAATTTCATCTGGGTCTCCCGTGAGGGTAGCAGGAATCCAAATGCCTGGGCCATCATCCACTGCTCTGCAGGATGCATTAGCAAGAAACTGGATCAGAAATGGAACAGTTGATGCTTATGTGGGTTGCTGGCCTAGCCGGCAATAACTTAACTCATGGCACAGCATTGATAGGATACCTGGCTACTTGTATTTTACATGTTACAGCTTGTAGATCTTCTATCCGGGTCTCTCATATAGCTGGCGGGGGCCCAAGCACTTCAGCTGTCCTCAGCTCTTTTCCTAGGCTTATTAGAAGGGAGTTTGGGTTTTTTTTTTAAACATCAGTTATTTGTTTATTTATTTATATTACGTTGCATTATGTGACACAGTTTCATAGGCTCTGGGATTCCCCAACCTCTCCCCGTGCCCTTCCCCCATGGTGGATTCTTCCACCTTGTTGTAGTATTACAGATCAAATTAAGTCCAGATTCTTCCTTTGCAAACATATACCAAGCATCGAGTCCAGCATCTTATTGTCCAGATAAATTCAACAGTTTCTTGTGGAGACCATCTCTGGTCTAAAGGTAGAGCTGGCAGAATATCATCCCAATCAATTGAAAGCCCCAGCACAACATCAACAACAATTTACAACATTATGGAATTAATTGACATGGTATTGAATAATCAATATGTTAAAAAATACAAGTTCTTAACCACCACCTGTGACTACTTCATTGACATTTCATTTTTTGTTTATACACAGTACCGGTTGCTATACACCTTAAAGTATTGTAATATTTCAACCTCAAACAGCCTGTATCTAATGCAATAAGATAATGTCATGTAATCAGTAAATCAATCAATGTGAGTCAGACTGCTTATGATCAAAGAATTGTAAAACCTAATATACTTTTAAGACCCTAAACTACTCGGAAACGGGGACGGGAGAGCAGAGAAATCTTTCATCTCCTTAGAAGGTGTGAGGAACACGTGAAGTATTATCTATTGGGAACGTAACAAGTAACTCACAGACAACAAACTCGAAGCAGAGTTAGACAATAGTAAAACTACAGAGACATAGGGGGAACCAAGAGCGATCCTGACAACCTCTTAACAGGAGGTAATATACACAGAGTAGGGAGCACCTCAGAGTGGAACAGGTAGACAGGAGGTTTGTATCCCAGCCCTGAAGACTCTCGGATCCTCACTAAGGACTATCAGTACGGGCACCAAGGACTACATCCCAACTGCCAAGGAGACCACGGGGGAATCGGAGTGCCTTCAGAGGCCCAGAACTCCAAAGTCACCCAGCCCCATTTGGATCTACCACATGGGATGGAAGAAACCCAAATCTTTCCTTGCATGATCCAAGGTCATCAGAACAACAGCCAGGAGCCCTGAGTGGTCTGCAGAAACAGAAGAACAGTAAACTTCCTTTGGGACTAAGGAGAGGAGCCTTTTCTGGTCCTTAGTTCCAACTTTTACAGGATCCCCACCCTCTCTTGCAATGACCATCAGGGTCTCTCCAGAGCCCTCCCCTGCCCCCCAAAAATTTAGAATAGATAGAAAGAGAAATACAAGGAAAGCGTAGAACCAGACAGGAAACAGCGTAGAAGGGAGTTTAAAGGGAAGTAGAGGAGCCAGGACTCAACCTGACGTAGATAGAGGATGCTAGTGTCACAGGTGGCTGTTCTTCTGTCTCACCACAGTGCCAATTGTAATATGGCGTTATATGCAGGATTCCAAAATCAGTCTCTGGGAGTGAAGCTGTTGGGTTATTATAAGTTAGAGTGAACAGTTTTACTCTTTTAGATACTGCCAATTACAACAAAAGGTAAGAGAAATACAAGTACCACATAATACACATATGCCTCAAAATTAATATGGTACTGGTAAGATAGAATTTTGATTTTCGTTGAGTTTAATCATGATTTGTATTTTTCATGTTAGGAGATCTTTCCATTTATTATATTGTCAATATACATTAAGTTAAATTGTGTTGTTATCATAAGCTTTCTTAAATAGTTTTGAGATATGATCCCAAATTCCTAGACTTATTTATTGAATCCTAATTTTTTTATTTTCAAACATAACGTTTTAAACTATTTCTTTGAGAGGTAGAGTTCTCAGCTTCTGGCTCCAACCAGGTGACTTCAGACTTGGCTGCTATAGGTATTTGGGGAGTTAACCAATGGGAGAGGCTTGCTCTGTCTCTTTGTCCCTTTCTCCTTATCTGTGTCTGTCTCTGCATGTCTCAATGTCCGTCTTTCTCTCCATCTCTGCCTGACAGTGCCAACTGTGACTCTGTCGTCTTGTCTGCCTGTGTGTTTGCCTCTCAGAACAAAAACAATTCCCAAGAGGTTGATCTAAGGTTCAGTGTTTAGCCTTGCTATTCATATGCCCTTGACCCTTGTCAGAGGAGTTGGGTGCCAATGCTGACTCTGCTTCCAATTACAGCTTGCTAATGTCTACCTTGGGGACAATGCAGGTGATGGTGCAGGTACTTTGGTCCCTCAGGGAGACTTGGATTCAGTTCTGAGCCCGACACTGGCTGTTGGGGTGTCATTTGGATATTGAGTTACGGGATGTCTGCATAAACAAATGTAATAGAATAATAGATTTTCTGTGTTAAAATTTTTGAGATATATGCCTATTTTTCATGAACTTTTTGAGGGACCCACAGTTGCATGACAGTAATTGCCCCACTGGGTCAGCTTTGATAGATGCCAGTCACATGTCCTGCATTTTTCTAGCAAAGTATAGACTATTTCTGTGATCCCCAAAAGTTTTTGTGTCTGTAGTTCATGCTTGCCTTCTTTACCCTTGTTCTTTTTTTAAAAATTTATTTATTTTTATTACAAAGTCAGATATACAGAGAGGAGGAGAGATAGAGAAGAAGATCTTCTGTCCCCAAGTGAGCTAACGGCCAGTGCTGTGCCGAACTGGAGCCAGGAGCCAGGAACCTCCAGGTCTCCCACACAGGTGCAGGGTCCCAAGGCTTTGGGCCATCCTCGACTGCTTTCCCAGGCCACAAGCAGGGAGCTGGATGGGAAGTGGAGCTGCTGGGATTAGAACCGGCGCCCATATGGGATCCCTGGTGCGTTCAAGGCCACTTTAGCCACTAGGCCACACTGCTGGACCCTTCTTTACCCTTCTGATTTCATGTTGGTTTGTACATTCTGGAACTGGAAATAAATGTAACTGTATAGGTCATGTTACTTACATCTTTTAATTGTCTAACTTGTTTCTCTGATCATAAGGTTTTTTAGACAATTCTGAGATTGTGTTGTTTTCTATGTAATTAATGTAACATTTTAGTTTCATATGGGATCCATATGGCGTCCCTATGGGATCCCCGTGCGTTCAGGGCGAGGACTTTAGCCGGGCCCCAGATTACTTTTCTTTAGCAAATTTTTTCTTTAAATTCTGTTTAGTTTTATTTGAAGGGCAGAAAAAGAGACAGAGGTGTTTCATTTCCTGGTTTACTGTCCGAATACCTGCAATGCAGGAGTTGGCCCAGGCTAAAATGAGGAGCTGGGAAGTCAGTGTGACAGGGACCTTTAACCCAGACACTCTTGTGCGGGATGTGGGCATCCCTCAGCAGTGTCCTGTTACCGGCTTGCCACCTCTAAAACAAATTCACAGGATAAAGAAGGAGTGAGACCAGAAGAGAAAATGGATAGATGAGAATACTTCTGAGAAATTTGTGGTTCAGAATGTTGTAAGTCCTTTTAGCTGTTTTTCCCCATCTGAGTTTCAGAATGAATTGAACCCTGTTTAATTCTGCCTTAATGTTCCCAGGTATGCAGGTGCCTTGAGAGCTTCAGGGGAGATGGCTTCAGCACAGTATATTACTGCAGGTCAGTATGGTAAATATATTACTTTTGAAGAAGGAGATAGAATGTTCTACATCGTAGTTTTTTACTTACAGTCTATAATGCCTTTTTCAATATAGAAATTGTGTTATGAAACTTATTAAGATCAGAGTACAATTATAGTCTTCTACAACTTGGAATTTATTTTAGTATTCAAATTATACAGTGGTGATGGCTGTTCTTTTTGAAAAATAATCTTTTTTTTTTTAATTAAAGCTTCAGATTCTGGTACATAAAAATATCTTTGAGGATGATTTTAAAGATAACCAGAGATAGTGTGATCATTTTAAGAGTTTTAGTATTAATATAAAAAAAGTTACAAATGAGGGGAACTATAAATTTTTAAAAAGATTATATTTGTTAAAAAGGCAGATTTAGGGAGAGAAGGAGAGACAGCAAAGTCTTCCATCTGCTGTTTCACTCCCCAAATGACTGCAATGGCCAGAGCTGAGCCAGTTCAAAGCTAGGAGTCAGGATCTTCTTTCGGATATCCTATGCAGAGGCAGGGGCCAAAGGTCTGGAACCATCCTCTCCTAAACAGAGTGCTGTGTTGGGGATGGAGCAGCCAGGACAGGAGCTGTTTCCCGTATTTGGGACTGGCACTTGAAGGTGGAGGAGTAGCCTGTTGAGCCACAGCAATGGTCCCAAAGAAAGAGATAACTTTTTAAAAAAATATTTATTTATAGTTTATTGATAAGTCAGATATACAGAGAGGAAGAGAGAGAGGAATGTCTTCCATCTACTGATTCACTGCCCAAGTGGCCACAATAGCCAGAGCAGAGCTGATCCTAAGCCCGGATCCAGGAACTTCTGGATCTTTGCACAGGTATAGGGTCCTAACTAATCGGGCCATTCTCAGCTGCTTTCCTAGGCGACAAGCAGGATGGGAAGCGGGACTATCGGGGACATGAACCAGCACCCACATGGGGTCCCGGGCATTCTAGGTGAGGAATTCAACCACTAGGATACTGAGCCTGACCCAGAGAAATAGAAATTCTTAAGGGTAGAAATAACGTATTTTATTATTATTATTACATGAGATCTGTATTTTCCCCCCAGCTTTTACAAATGAATACTTCTAAATCATTGCTTATAGTTTTTTGTTTGTTTGGTCTAACTGCTTTGTTGAAATGTATTTGTCATATTATACCACACAGTTCAGTTATTTGAAACATGGGTTAATTGTATTTTTTAAAATTTATTCCTTTATTTTTATTGCAAAGGCAGATTTACGGAGAGAAAGAGAGGTGCAGAGAAAGGTCTTTTATCTGCTGGTTCGCTCCCCAAATGGTCTCCATGGCTGGAGCTGAGCTGATCTGAAGGCAGGAGCCAGGAGCTTCATCCGGGTCTCCCACGGGGGAGCAGAGTCTCGAGGCATTGGATCATCCTAGTTTCCCTGGGCCACAAGCAGGGAACTGGAAGGGAAGTAGAGCAGCTGGGATTTTAACCAGTGCACATATGTTATCCTGGTACTTGAAGGTAGAGGATTAGCCAGTTGAGCCATTGCATGGTGCTTGGTTAATTGGTGTTTAACACAAGTATTGAGATTTGGCTATGTCACTGCAGTCAGTTTTCAAGTATTTTCATCATTCTTCTCCCCTTCCTGCTAACCTGCTTCTTCCCTTCCTAGATCTTGGATTAAAATTGAGTTAGACAGTATATGAAATTGTGGCTTCTTTGACTTAGCATGATATTTTTAAGGTCCGTTCCCATCCCTTTGTTTTGTTGCTAAATGAGCTCCTGTTATGTGGACGTATCACATTACATTTATCCACTTATCAGTGATGGAACATTTGAGTGTTTCAATGTTTGGCTTCTAAAATCTAGCACGATTTACAAACCCATGTTTGACTTACATTTTCCTTTCTCTTGGGGAGTATATCTAGGAGTGGAATTGCTGGTAATTTTATATTTCATCTTTTGAGAGGCTGTCAAGCCTGTTTTGCAAAGGGGCTTGCGCCGTTTTCTATCTCCTCCAGCAGTCTGAAGATTCTAGTTGCTCCTCAGCCTTACTAAAAATACCGTGTGTGTTTGATTAAAATCACCCTAGGGTTGTGAAGTGTTGTCTCATTGTGGTCGGTGATTGAGTTTTAGTTCTTTAAGTACTAACTTATTTGTATTAATTAAAGTTAACTCTTTTATTCCTGGAAGTACATTGATTTCATTGGTTTAAGTTGCTAAGGTGCAACTGTATCTAGGTTATTTGCTTGTGTTTCTGTGGCGATCCAGCATTGTGTCAATTTCTCCAGCGTCACAGAGCAGGGAGTAATGATGTTGGTGGGCTGAAAAATACTGTTTTACACAGTCACATTTTTTTTTAAGGTTTATTTTTACTTGAAGGGTTACAGGAAGAAGAGACAGAGGTCTTTCATCTGCAGGTGCAGGCTTAGCCTACCACACGGCTTGGCCGGTCCCTTGACTTGCAATTTGAGATACATTTAAAACACAGGATAGTCGCAAGGAGTCGCCAAGTTCACTTTCGTTTACCTTTGTTTCTCACTTTCCTTATTGCATGTAATTTTTTTCTGAATCATTTTCAAATAAGGTACCAGATATCATTTGTTTTATTCGGTACATACTTTGTAAGAATAAAGACATCTATCTACAATCACAGGACTACCAGTTTGCAAAATTTGCTAGTTTAACATTGTTGAGTACTCTGACATAAATGCACTTTTTTTAGTATTTATTTGAAAGATAGAACACAGAGAATCATCGTGCTGATTTACACGCTTAAGCAGCTGGTGTGGTCAGCTAGGGCTGGGCTAGGCTCAAGCCAAGAGCCAGGAGCTTCCTGAGGGTCTCCATGTGGGTGATGGGCCCCGTACTGCCATTGCTTTTCCCTGGCCATTAGCAGGGGGTTGGGTTAAGTTAGCAGCTAGGATCGTGCTTACGTGAGATGCTGCTCACCTCACCTGCTACGTCCAGTGCAGGCTACCGACATACAGACTTTATTCACGTATTGCCAGCCATCTCAGTATATCGCATTACAGTTTTGTCTTTTTTTTTTTTTTCTCCTGGCTTCAAGGTCCAGCTTAGGATCGCACGTTGTATTTACTTGTGGCTCATTTATCTCAATCTAGATTGTTTCTTCACCTTTTCATTTGGATGAATGAAACATTATGAAGATGCTCTATTGGTGGTTTATGCTAAATGTTAAATTTCCTTTCTTTCTTTTTTTAGAAAGTTTAATTTATTTGAAGGGCAGAGTTACAGAGAGGTAGAAAGAGAGAATGATCTTTTATCTGCTGATTCAAATCCCCCAAAAGGACCGATGGCCAAAGCTAGCCAGAAGCTTCATCCAGATTACCCTAGTGGATACAGCTTCCAGTGCCTTCCAGGAATATTAGCGGGAGGCTGGATCAGAAGTGGAACAGTTAAGACTCAGACTGGCACCCATATGGGATGCTGGTGTCACAGATGGTGGCTTTACTGGCTGTGCTGCAGTGCTGGCTGTCTCCTTCAGGAACGTTTCATTGAGCTCTTGCTTTGTGCTTAGATGCTGTTACATTTGCTGATCTGACAGATGACAATCCACATTTTATGTATTGAGTTAGATTAGCACTTTGTGAAGTAAGGCACACTGTGGTAGCTCAGAAGTCAGCAGAAGCAGCCCTTCTGAGCTCTGAGAGCACAGCTGAGCCCAGGACGATGTGCTCGTGGGAGAGGATGTAAAGGAAGGATTTTGAAGAAGGCGAATTAGATTGGGTTCCTTGCTGTCTGGTGTGATGGTCAGGAAGTATGTTTAAGGAACCAGATTTCAGTATCCAAGTTGATGTTAGTTGATGATACTGTAGGCTTGAAGAGAGAAGTTGGGAATTATGACTTGACATGAATGTGTCAAGCTGGTAGAGCAGGGATGTCTTACCTGTTTGATTCCTAGAAAGCAGTTAGCTGTTCTGTGAATTAATACAACCTGCTTCATTTGGGATGATGAGAACAAAGAGGCAGGTTTACATTGCTGCTAACTGTGTTACAGTGTCTTCTGGTGAATTCTTTAAAATTCGAACATCAAGGTTTTTTTTTTTTTTTTTGCTGGTTATTTTTGTGGGCCAACATAATGCAAAGATAATTATCTTTAAAATAGTTAAGCAAGAAGTTTGTTTTGGTATTAGGGAGTCTCAGTAACATTTATAAAATATCACTGTTATACTAATGCGATGTTTGCTTTGTGTTTAAGCCCTTAGAGATTTGTTTGATTCCATGGATAGAACTTCTTCTAGTATTCCACCGATTATCCTACTGCAGTTTTTGCACATGGCTTTCCCACAGTTTGCAGAGAAGGGTGAACAAGGACAGTATCTTCAACAGGTAATCATTCTGTAAACCTAAACTTAGATTTATTACACTTAACACTTACTGGGTCAGTCTGTTTTGGTTCATACTGCTGTTACTTCTTGGTCTATTAAGTGATCATCTTGTTTCTGGTGCTTTTGCAGTGTTTATCCTCATTACCCTCAGTGTCTTTAAAAAAATGTTAATAAGATTAATTGTGCTTATTTATAATATGTAAATTTGTAAAAATAGAAATCAGATCATGCCTTATTTATATTTCCATGACCATGATCATTTCTACCCTTGTCCTAAATCCTCCAACTCCTGGACGCTTCTCTGAGCTTGTCACAGAGCTATCCTCTTGCTCGCCTGACTTTCTTTTTCTCATTTGAAAGGCAGATTTTACAGAGAGACGGAGTTGCACAGAGAGAGATCCTCCATCCACTGGTTCCCTCCGCAAATGGCTGCGGTGGCCAGAGCTGAGCCGATCCAAAGCCAACAGCCAGGAGCTTATTCTGGGTTTCCCGCATTGATGCAGGCCCCAACGACTCAGTCATTCTCCTGCTGCTTTCCCAGGCCACAAGCAGAGAGCTGAATGGAAAATGGAGCAGCCGGCACTTGAATTAGCACCCATATGTGATACTGGTGCTGCAAGCAAAAGCTTAGCCTACTAGCCACAATAGCAGCCCTGCTTAGTCACCTTTCTCTAGCCACCTAATTTCCTTGCTTTTTCTTTTATTATTACTTTCTAAATTTGTTTTTATTGGAAAGTCAGATATACAGAGAGGAGCAGAGACAGAAAGATCTTCTGTTCGATGACTGACACCCCACGTGACTGCCGCTACAGGAGCCAGGTGCTTGGAGACTCTTGTGGGTGTCCCGTGTGGGTGCAGGGTTCCAAGGCTTTGGGCTGTCCTCAACTGCTTTCCCAGGCCACAGGCAGAGAGCTGGATGGGAAGCGGGGCCACGGGAACATGAACTGGCACTCATGGGATCCCGGTGCATTCAAGGCGAGAATTTCACCTGCTAGGCTACTGCACAGGACCCCTTTTTCTTTTATTTTTAAGATTCATTTTACTTAATTGAAAGGTAGAGTTACAGAGAGAAGGTGCAGATTGCTGCACTGGCTGGCCCATTGGCGCAGCTGATGCTGTGATGCCTCTGTGCTGGCCTGTCCTTTTTTCTCTCGGGACCTTTGCTCTCGTTCCGTTGGCTGTCTGCTGAATGTGTGGCTGACTCCCTTAACTCCTTTGGTCTCATGACTCCGTGTCTTGCCCTGAGTGCTTTACTGAAGCAGCGCACTCTGTCTGGCTTTTTTTTCTTCATTCTCTTAATTACTGGGTAAATTTGTGTTTTCGTTTAGCTGTGTCCCTCACCAGAATTTTTCCTGTTTCTCACTGTTGTCTAGGACTACCTAGAACAGGGTTGTATTTTTGCTGTTGTTCTTTTTTGGTCTTACTGTGTTGGAACAGTGTAACAAATAGGAGCTCTGTTAGTAACTGTTCAGTAAATGAATAAACTGTCCTAGAATTGCTTATTTTTATTTGAAGATTGTGTTTTTAAAAAGAAAACTTTACCCTCCCAAGGAAGAAATAATTTTGGAAGGATTTTATAGATTGCTGTGTCATTTTTTAAATTGTAGGATGCTAATGAATGTTGGATTCAAATGATGCGAGTATTACAACAGAAATTGGAAGCCATAGAGGATGATTCTGTTAAAGAGGTAATGGAAGTAAATTTGTAATAATGGACTTTAATTGTACCTCTTGTTTTTATTTATTTCCCTAAAGGCTTGAGATAATTTCACCTTAATAGGTATCTTTGAATACTTTGATTACTTAATTTGTAGTTAGAATTTGAATGATTGCACTTGACATTTCAATCTAATGTATTATTTATTAAACTTAATCTGTAATTGTTCTTGGGCATCTCATCTTTTGATGGTATTTTTTGAATTGCAGAAAGGTTATACACATGGATTGTGTTACAAAAACTTGTATGTATTATTAGATTGTGGAGAAGGAGATAGACATTTATATAAAGTGAAATTGGAATTCTTCATTTTATTTTTTACAGACGGATTCATCTGCAGCAGCAGCGGCGGCACCTTCTAAAAAGAAAAGTTTAATTGATCAATTTTTTGGTGTTGAGTTTGAAACTACGTATCCTTATGAACCAGGATTTGTGTGGACAGTCTTCATAACTCGCTAGCAGTGAATTTGCATAGGGTGCTTGGATGTTTCATGATTACAGTGAGAGAGGCAGAATAAAATTACTGCAGAGGTTTCTATGTCAGTGAAAGTTTAATAATGGAAATAATATAATGGAGTCTACGCGTTGGAGTAATCTTGATGTTTACTTATATGTACGCTTTGAGGACATTCATTATTCCTGAGAACATCCTTATAAGAATCTACTTCATTCATTTCCTAGAGAATTAATGTTTGGTTTTATGAAAAATGTATTAAACATCTTACATGTAAGATTAAACCAGTTCATCATATATCGTCATGCTATTTTTATGTCATGGTTAGATACTTAGAAAATAATTCTGTTTTTCTTTGGGTAATTGAGATCTTGTACAGGGCAATCTAAATAACAGCTTACATTTGTTTAGGGTTTATTCCAAGTTATCGTTGGTGTACATTTATTAGTTGTAATTTATAGAGTTGGCAGGCAATGAGCATTCTTAAGTATGTTGAGATGAATCTTTGTTTTTCCAAAGTGTTTGAAATATCAGCGAATGTTAATTTCTAACGCCACTAGGGTAATTCGTTATATTCAAGATTGCTTGACAAATTAAACTTGGCATGTTCCTTATCTTATTTGTCAAGCATGAAATGTACTGAATCTGAAGAAGAGGAAGTCACCAAAGGAAAGGAGAACCAGCTTCAGCTCAGCTGCTTCATCAATCAGGAAGTCAAGTATCTTTTTACAGGGCTTAAGTTGGTAAGAGCTCTTAGCTCATTTTCATTGTGTCTGTGTGAATACCCTTTCTTGCTAAAACATATTAGGGTCCTCAGAGTTAATACTGGTGCTTTAGTGGTCGTTTTCAGAGGCACACAGAGTGGTGCAAGTTTTGATTGGCCCAACAGGCCATTCCAGCCTGAATCAGACAAGGAAGGCAGGTGGTACCCTGCCTTTTTGTCTCAGTTCTGATAGTTCTTGCAGTGAGTTCAGTACCCTTTTGTTTTTCCTCCTTAATTGTTGTGCCTTTGGGTGATAATGTTGTTGTTTAAACTGAGTGGGAAGCAGAGCGCTAGAGTGTCTCCCATTGTTTCTAAGCGCAGGAAGGCTTTAATGAGTCTTACCAAGAAAACCCACAAGTTAGTAAAGCTTCACTTGGGCAGGAGTAAAGTTGCATTGTCTATGAGATGAATGTTGATGAATCAACACTGTTAATGACACAAAGTATCTTTAGGCAGAAACACGTTGAGGGATCAGGGTTTAACCTACTTGTTAAACCAGCAGTTAGGAGGACCTTGTCAGAGTGCCCAACTTCAGTATCCTCCGTGATCCCAGTTTGAACTTACTGACAGTGCAGACCCTGGGAGGAACCAGTGATGGCCTAAGCACTTGGGTTCTTGCTACCTGTGTCAGGAACCTGGATTGAGTTGCCTGTTCTGGCTTCACTCCTTTGCCCCACCTTGTCGCCCTTTGAAGAATCACCAGTAACTAGGGGAATGCTTGTTTCCTCTCGGGAATTGAAAAGAAAGGCAAAATGAAAACAAAACACACTCCAGGAAAGCACACGTGGAACAGGGTTATGTATTGATTTGTCAGTGAACATATTGTGAGCAGAGACTCATAGGAACCTAACCTCTGTTTCCACTAGGAGCAGTAGTTGGGTATTCACAAATGCAGCAATCATGGTGACTTGAGTGATGTGACTACTATGTGTCAGATTGTGTAAGAACAGTTTCCTGCATTCTTTTAACTTGCCTCTAGTACAAGTATATTGGATAATCCATAGAGAAATTACAGAACACTGTATTATATGATGCCTGATAATAATGGAACAGTATCTGAAAACCTTTCCATATTGTTTTCATCGCAAATTCTTGGTGGTGTAAGTTCATCAACATATTGCATATTGTCTACTAAGTGCCCTGTGTTTTAAAAGAATTAGGGTATGATTCTATATTACAGGAACATTGTTTAAAGCTAGCTTTGGGGTTTTTTTTTTAGAGACTTCAGGAAGAGATCACTAAGCAGTCTCCAACATTACAAAGAAATGCTTTGTACATCAAATCTGTAAGTTGTGCCATTCCATTTGTAATTAAATTGAATTTTGTTGAGAGTTTCAGTTAATTCATCTCATGTAGTAGTTGTTTTAATCTCTCAGAAATTAAAAATGTTTTTGATATTTTGATGTTAGTAATTTTTTTTCTTCTTCCTAGTCCAAGATCAGCCGGCTACCTGCTTACTTGACTATTCAGATGGTTCGATTTTTTTATAAAGAGAAGGAATCTGTAAATGCCAAAGTTCTTAAGGTTAGTAACCTTAATTTATCTGCAAAATGTAATTTTTGAAGGTAGTTGCTTACAGTAGTCTTCTTTAACATTTTTGGGGATACTTAGGCTTTCTTTGAAATGCTTAGTGGAGTTCCTAACATTAGGAAAGTGTCATAAACAAAAATAAGCATTGAAATTATTTGGTATTTATTTGTTTGAGAGGAAGAGAAAATTTAAAATGCCTCATCTCCTGATTTGGACCCCAGAAGCCTGAAGTATTTGCTGTTGAGCCAAGCAGAGGCCTGGAGCCAGGTGCTCATCCAGGTCTTCTGTGCAAAGGCAGGAAGCTAGGAGACATTGCTGTTGCTTCCCAGGCTGGACATGTAACTTAGGCATTCTAACTTGTGATAGGATTTTTTCCTACCAGGGTCTGCAAGCACATTTTTATGTAATGGTTTAAAAAAGAGAGAGAGATTTATTTATTTCAAAGGCCAGGTTAGGGAGAAAGAGATTTTTGTATTTGCTGGTTTACTCCCCAAATAGCTGCAGCGGCTGGATTAGGGCCAGTCTAAAGCCAGGAGCCAGGAGCTTCTGGGTCTGCTATGTGGGTGCAGTGACCCACATACGTAGGCCATCCTCCAGTGCTTTCCCAGGCATATTAGTACAGAACTTGGATCACAAGTGGAGTACCTGGGACTTAACCTGGCTCCCATATTTGGTACTGGTGCCACAGCTGGTGCCTTTACTTGATAAAGCACAGTGCTGGCTTCTCTAATTTTTGTCTTAGATTCATTCATTTAGATTAATTTATTTTAGAGGCAGTGTTAGAGAGAGGAAGAGAATGAAAGGGATTTTTTTTCCTTACCTGATTTACTTCCTAAATAACTGCAGTGGCCAGGGATGGGCCATGATAGGAGTGTGCTGGATCAGAAGTGGAGTTAGGACTTGAACAGATACCAGTATAGGTGCTGATAGTGCAGGCGGTAGCTCAACCTGCTGTGCCACTACATAGTATCTCACTTTTTTTTTTTTAAACAAGAGTTATTTATTTGAAAAGGGGGTGAGACATATACTTCATGTATGAGTTCATTGCTGAAATGACCACTATGGTCAAAACAGGGCTCTATCAAACCCAGGTACCCAGAACTCCATCTTGGTCTCCTGTGTGGATGGCAGGTGCCCAAGTGCTTCAACTGTCTTGTTCTGTTTTCCCAAGCGCAGTGATAGGGACACATTTAGTGGGTGACTGGACTGGAAACAGCCTTCCAAGTGGGATGCTGGCATCTCAACAGGTGGTTTTAACTGTTGTGCTGTAGGGTCAGCCCTCACAAAATGTTATGTCAAATATTATAAAATTTTAAGTTGACTCCAGTTGTGTTGGATACATGTTATTTTCACAGAAGCTAGTCTAATATTTCTGAAACACTTTTGTCATGCATATTTTGATAACCCCTCTAGGGTCAGCTTTTTGTGGGTTGTAGTAATCAATGGAAAAAATATTTGTATTTTTTTTAACTTTGAAAAGGCTGGTGCTTATGTTTAAGAGTGTCCTATTTTTAAGAGATTTTCAACTGTAGAAATTTTCAAATGACTTTCAGAGATTTTATTTTCAATTTTATTTGGATTATGAATGCATTATATTAATACTACATTAGATATTTAAAATAATTGCCTATGAATTCTTCTTACGTATTTTTTTGTCATTTTGAACTACTTATAGGATGTCAAATTTCCTCTTATGTTGGATGTATATGAATTATGTACACCAGAACTTCAAGAGAAAATGGTTTCTTTTCGATCAAAATTCAAGGATATAGAAGATAAAAAAGTGAATCAGCAGCCAAGTACAGTAGGTTTTTATTGCTGTTTTCCTGTTTTAAAATTTGAATCTTTTGATCAATACTTAGCGGTTACACTGTACTAATTACATTGTATTAATCCTTTAAAAATGGATCAACTTGAAGTGAAGTGTGCAGACGTACACATCTACATATAAAGATGTAGTTTAGCATAAGAAACAGGAAACAAATCCCTTCTGGTTGAATCAATCCCAGAGTCTTCTTTCCTTCCATAATCTGCTATCTATAACCCTTTTGTTTTTGTTTGCTAAAACACTTCACATAACATCTTACCTATGTTTTCAGCATGCTCTTTATTTATTTATAAATGATTTATTTCAGTTTTTAAAAGATTATTTTTATTTGAAAGGTGTATGTTATTGTAAAGAGGAGAGACAGAGATCCTCCTTCTGCAGGTTTATTTCCCCAAGTGAGTGCAGCAGCTATCACTGAGCCACTCTGAAGCCAGCTGCTTTCCAGGCCAGGAGCATGGAGCTGGATGGGAAATGGAGCAGTCAGGAAACGAACCAGTGCCCAGATAGGATGCTGGTGCCACACGTGGAGAATTAGCATGCTACGCTACCCCAGTACCATTTTCCCCCTTTTTGGAAAGCCAGGGTTACAGAGAGAAGGAGAGATAGAAAAGGATTCATCTTCCATCCGCTGGTTTATTCTTCAAATGGCTGCAACAGCTGGAGCTAAGCTGATATGAAGCTGGGAACCAGGAACAGCTTCTGGATCTCCCATGTGGGTGCAGGGGCCCCAGGACTTAGACCATCCTCTGCTGCTTTTCCAATCCATGAACAGGGTGCTGGATTAGAAGTGAAACAGCTTGGACACAAATTGTTATCCTTGTGGAATGCCAGCACTTGCAGGTGGTGCCTTAGCCTGTTATGCCATAGCAATGGCCCCATTTGTTTTTATTTGCTTTACAAGGCATGAAATTCATTCCATTTTTAGGTGTAATTGGTGATGTACAGTATTGATGTGTTTATGCCCATTGTACAGCTAAGTCAAATCTTTTTATAGGTTCTGGTGTGCATTTAACTGCTAAAAGTATTGCCACAACAATTTTGTATTTAATAAATTGTATTATTTTAAATTCAGATAAGATGTAGCTGATTTATATATTGAAATCTTTGTTCAGAATGAAAAAGATTTCCTGTTAACTAGAAATGTTTTGAATTTCAAATTTGAGGATCACTATTTACATGCGTTAGAATAATATAAAGATTATTTTGAGGTAGTAAGGGATTGCATATGGTTATAAGCAATACCAGCCATCCTGGGCACGTTTTATCCAGTTTCCCCTTAGAGAACATCTTGTAAGAGTGTTGTAATCAGCATGTTATTTTAAGTTGTTCTAGCATGATTTAAAAAAAAATCTTTTTTTGCCCCTTGACTGACCGTGGCATCTTTGTAGAAAATCAGTGGACTGAACCCATGTTTGAGTGTGTTTTTGATGTCTAGGTTTTATTTCATTAGTCCTTGTGTATCTGACGCGGTGCCATAGTATTATGTTGTGGTCACTGTTGTTAAACTATGCAGTGAAGATCCTGACTTTGTTCTTTTTGAAGGCTTTTTTGTTTTGTTTTGTTTTTTTTAACCTAACCTGAACCCCTTGCCTTTCCTTGTGTTTTGTAGAATCAGTTTGTCCATGTCTTCAAGCATGGAGTTAAAAATTTTTATAGGGATTATATTCACTTTGTGCCTGTATTTGAAAATATTATCATCTAAAAGTATTACATCTTAAAAATCTGTAAGTTTGGTGTTGATGTGTCTTTTTATTTATTTGGTATTCTTTAATTATTTTAACTTTAATTATTTTCACCATATGTATAAGTTTTATACTTTAGCTCACCTTATTTCTGAGTGTTTTTAATTTAATCAAGAGAATTCTTTCCATTGCTGCAGTGTTTGCTGGTGCTTGTACTGCTTGCACAGGTGCAGGCTGTGTTAGGAGCCCGCACAGGCTGGGCCGCCACAGGCGTGGCAGGGATCTCATGATTGAGCCATCCCTGCGTCTCCCGTTGTCGGCCTTTGTGGAAAGTTGGGATGCAGAGCTAAGCCTGGATGTGCGGGAGCTGCTGTGGCCTAGATGCATAAATCTTTTTTGGAAAAGGTTGAGTCTCTGTTAATATTTTCTTAACACATTTACATATTTACATATGTGCATATTCACAGCTAGTGTGTATAAATGCAGTTAATTTTTGTATGTTACATCCTCAGCTTTGCTGATTTATTACCTCTACTTTTGCCTATTTTTTAGAGATTATAAAATTGGCTTTCTTTTTTTTTTTAAGATTTATTTTTTATAGGAAAGTCAGATACAAAGAGAGGAGAGACAGAGAGGAAGATCTTCCGTCCGATGATTCACTCCCTAGATGGCCGCAACTGTTGGAGCTGAGCCAATCCTAAACCAGGAACCAGGAGCTTCTTCTGGGTCTCCCACGTGGGTGCAGGGTCCCAAGACTTTGGGCCATCCTTGACTGCTTTCCCAGGCCACAGACAGGGAGCCAGATGGGAAGTGGAACAGCCAGGACATGAGCCTGGTGCCCATACGGGATCACAGCATATGTAAGGCAAGGATTTTAGCCAATAGGCTATTGTGCCAGGCCCAGGACATACTGCTTTAATGTAAATTTTTTATCAGTAGAGGTAGAACACTTAAAAATATTGATAAAAAGCATAATAAATATATAAACCAGTAACAGTTGTTGTAATGTATCCTATAGTATACATATTTGTGTTATACTTTTGTACCACTGGCAACCCCAGCATCACCATTAGCATTAATGCATTGTGCCATTACCTGATAGCATCTGTGATATCAATGGTCCATAGGAAATTTTTGTCTCCATTGTAATGTTATATACGTGGTCCATCATTTACTAAAATATCATTAGCTGAGACTTCACTGTATTCTTTATGTTATTTGGACATCTATAGGTGACATAGTGGGATCTGTACTGTTTCATTTCTGATTATTATTTTTTTGGTGGCTGTTGCTATATTTTTTTAATCTTTCCAAAGAGCTGGCTGTGTTTCATTGATGCTTTTACTCTTGTTTTCTATTTTTGATTTTACTGGTTTTTGAGCTTAATTCCTTTCTTTTGTTTGCTTTCAGTTTGAGACTTAGGTTAACAATTTCACAGTTTCTTGTGTGGTTTTAATTCTATCAATATCCCTTCCAGCAGTGGTTTTGTTGTGTCTCACAGTTTTGATATATTGTGTTCTCACTTTTATTCTGTTCCTAGTATTTTATTATTATTCTTTTGAAAGGCTCAGTGACAGGGAAGAATCTGGAAAGAGGCAGAGCCAGACCTTCCATGTGCCAGTGCCCTCGCAAGGTGTCTGCAGTCAGCACAGTGCCAGGCTCAAGTCAGCAACCTGGAGCACCATCTGGGTGTGCCGCATGAGTAGCAGGACCCCACGTGCTTCCTCCCAGGGTTCCTCTCACAGGAAGCTGGATCCGAGGGAAGTGATTGGAGCTGGAAGTGACACTCTGATGTCAGCTGCAGGCGTACCACACACAGTGGCTTACCTTGCTTTGTCACAAATACCAGCCCCTCCTTGTAGTTAGTTAGTTAGTTATTTTATCATGTGAAACTTCCTTTTTGACCGTGGATTATTTTAAAAAAATTTTCCAAACACTGGATAAAGGTCTGTCTTTCCAGTAAATAGTGCTGGGGAAATTGCATAAATCCATATGTGAAAAAACTAGACCTCTCATACTCAAAAATTGACTCATAGACCTAAAATGATGAAGCCACAGAAGGAAACATTAGGGAGGCACTTCAAGATACTGACACAGGCAGTGACTTTAGAGGAAAAACCCCAAGCAAAAGCAGTTAATGCAGATGTGGACGAATGGGATAATAATGAACCAAAGAGCTTGTGTACAAGAAAGGAAACAGTGGAGTGAAGACAACCTGCAGAGTAGAAATAATATGTGGGAATTATTCCTTTGATGGGAACTAGTATCTAGAACATCCTTGTAAAAGGCTATTAAAAGAAAAGCAGCAAAGTGACAGATAACTTAATTAAAAAACAGATGATCTGAAGAGATATTTATTAAAAGATATAAAATGGCCAACAGCTATGAAAAATTACTTACCATCATTCATCAAAGGAATGTTCAGTAAAATCCCAACAGGAAAGATTACAATGCTGATGAGGATGCATAGGTGCAGAGCTCTAATACACTGTTGATAGGAGTGTAAGTTAGTATGTCCATTACGGAAAGCATGGTGGGGCTTCCCATGTTTATCACAGCGCTGTTCACAGCAGCCCAGATGTGGAGTGGAGTGAATATGTTTTGTTAAACTTACGGAACTGTTTTTTCCTTTTGTGTCCTGGAATCCTGTGTTACCTATAGTGTATGTCACAGTATTTTTTTTGGTTGCCCAAAGGAGGTTTATTGCCCTCCCAGACCATGTTACAAGATCATCTTAAGCTGTTACAGCGCGAAGCCTTTAGTTTGCGTTTTTACATAAAACTAGTGGGAAGTTAGAACAGTGCTACAGTGAAAACATGCTGGCAGTCTGTGAGGTAAACATCTTATCTCATTGCTTTTGCATTGTAGACCTAAATAGTTGTAAACTTGAAAACTCATTAAGAATACAAGTTTTACTTCCAGTAACGTATTTTAAAATTTAAAAATGTTTTTCCTCTTAGAATGACAAGAAGAGTCCTCAGAAAGAAGTTAGGTATGAGCCCTTTTCATTTGCTGATGGTGAGTGGGAGTTTGCTTCCCTTTGGATTATTCTATGTGCATGTGTTTATTGAGGTGGAATTGTTGCATATCTGGATCTCATGCTTGTTTTTTTAGTCAGATTTCTTGAATAAATGACCTTAATGTGGCTTATAGAAAGATTACTTTTTCTGAGTCATATACTTTAAGTTTTAAAATTTTCATTTCAAGAGAAAAAAATAAAGAGATATCTTTCATCTGCAGTCGAATTCTCAATTGCCAACAACTAACATAGCTGGACCAGGCCAAACCCAGGAGTCAGAACTCCATCTTGGTCTTCCATATTGGTGACTGGGATCTAATTCAGCCATCATTGGCTGCCTTCCAGGCTGCACATTAGCAGTAAGCTGGAGTACGAAGCACATGTTGAACTCAAATTAGGCACTCTACTTTGGGATGTGGGTGTCGTAAGCAATGCCTTAACCGCTGTCAAATGTCTGTCCCCACACGCAGTTTTTTTTGTTATTATTTTCCAGTTTTGTAGGCATAGGGTTTCTTCCCTTGCCCCCTCGTTTTCCTCTCTACCATCTCCTCTCCCGCTGCCCCCGTATAATTAGTCAGTGCCCAGGATTGGAGGCAGTCATTTGGTGTCACCCTAGAGACCCCAATGTGGGGAGGAATGTTGTGTTAAGTGGTCCTGAGAGCTAGCAGACGCTGTCACCTTTGTTGCACTAGGGCTGAGCAAGTCTTTCTAAGGTCTCTTGGCTGACCAGGTCTACTTCAGTGTAGCCCTCTCAGCCAGAGTCAGGCTCTGTGGATGCACCAAGAAACTTAACACAAAGCATTAGCTCAGGTAAGAAGTGATGAATAACTACATTCTAATAAAATAGTACTTTTCTAATCTAAACTTGTTATTGATTGTTAACTTAGAGAAAGGATGTATCTGTGAATATTATTCATTATTAATAGATTTACATCTTTCTTTAGATATTGGCTCAAATAACTGTGGATACTATGATTTACAAGCAGTGCTGACACACCAGGGAAGATCAAGTTCTTCAGGTCATTATGTATCATGGGTGAAAAGGAAACATGGTAAATAATCTGTTTTTTTTTCCTACCATTAAAGACTCACATTTATCATAAATTATATAGCTCTGCATTTATATGCATGTGTAGTTTCATGTCTCTCTCTTTTTTTTTAAGATTTATTTATTTTTATTGGAAAGGCAGACATAGAGGAGAGACAGAGAGGAAGATCTTGCCTCTAATGATTCACTCCCCAAGTGGTCGCAACGGCTGGAGCTGAGCCAATCCCAAGCCAGGAGCCAGGAACTTCTTCCAGGTCTCCCACGCAGGTGCAGGGTCCCAAAGCTTTGGGCGTCTTCCACTGCTTTCCCAGGCCACAAGAGGGAGCTGGAAGGGAAGTGGAGCTGCCGGGTTTAGAACCGGCACCCATATGATCTCGGTGTGTTCACTACACTATACTATCATGCTGGTCCCAGTCTCTTGCTTTATATCTTGAATTATTGAAGTCCTGATGAACTTTTGTTTAAATTGAATGTTAGAAATTAAAACTAAGAAATTTTAAAAATTCTTTTGAAAATGACAAATGAGCACATTTATATTAACCTAAGCAATGTTTTATAAATGTTACTTTAGGATGCTGGACTTTCTACCATTGTCTGTGCCTTCAGTGTATGATACACTTAGAATGGCGGACTTGTGACTGTGTTTGAAGGACTGTACAATTGTTATAGGGGAAAACAGTGAGGGGAGAGGGGATGGGAAGGGCTGAAGGAGGAAATCCTGCACCTAAGGAAAAATAAAAATTTAAGAAGTCACGTTCAAAAACAGGTAGAAATGATATTTATAGTTTTGATTTATTGTCTGGGTTCTGACCTTGTGTATTTTACAAAGAGTATTGAAGTACTTGTGACTGCTGGGACCCTTCTAGTGGCCTGGACTGTTTGTTCTCTGAACCATGATTTAGGTGGTGTTCTGTACTCTGGGCTCTGGTGCTTGTCTTGAAATGGAACTCTGAGAGGATTGTGGTGTAACAATAACTTGCTTTTGTCCCCTCTGGTTACTTAGATGAGTGGATCAAGTTTGATGATGACAAGGTCAGCATCGTCACGCCGGAAGACATCTTGCGGCTTTCTGGCGGTGGAGACTGGCACATCGCTTATGTTTTACTCTACGGGCCTCGCAGAGTTGAAATAATGGAAGAAGAGAATGAACAGTAATCTTCATTAGCTATTCATGCTTAGGTGTGAAATGTTATTTGATCATTTCTATAATCCAGAGCTTTAGAGAAAGACATTTGGGTGGTTTTCTGTTTCCCCTCATGTGGAACAAGAGAGCAGAAGCAGACTTCCAATTTCAAATTTAAAAATTACTGAAGAGAAAATTCCTTTTGGATTGTGCTGCCATGTATAAAAGTGGATGGAAGACATTTTTAAGAAATTAATTTCTTGCTTTAATTCAAAAATATTCTGAGTTAAAATGCTTTTCAATAATTACATTGTGGTCATTTTTCTCCCTGCTTTTTCCCAAGTCCAAGGTTCAGCAATCAGATGTTTATCGCACACCTGTTATCATTTGTTGTTGCATGGTTCAAACCACCACTCAGTAGGTGCCCGTCCTTTGCCTTATCTAACATTTTTCCAGGAAGATGGAAAAATTATTGTTCTCCTTGTGTAACTCAGTGCTGCTTTCCACATCCCATGGAAACATGGGTACAATCAAGTATTTGTCCAGCCTGACTCATGCTGGCTTTTCATGACTTTAAATTGTGATAATAGTACATTTGATTATACATTGTTTCTCTCTCCAACATACTATGGCTTGTACATTTAACTTTGCAATGGTTTTGTAGCAATCAACCTCAAATGCTGACAGGCTCTGGTGGCTTATTTTTAGAAAATGATGATATTTAATAAAAAAAAAAAGAGGTATAAACAGCTTTTGACCTCTTTTGTCTTCTGAGTGTTGGAGCTTAGCTAAAGATGACTGTTTTAATATTGTGTAATTTCTGCAGATGGTTAATATAACTACTGTTAGTGCATCCATTTAAAAAATTTATCATCTTTGCCTCCTTGTGCAGTTGTAATGGCTATCTTTGGATGCTGAACGTAGTGGTTTTACTCGGCTCAGTTATTTATTGTTAATTCCCATAATCTTATGTTTTAAAGTAATGATGGAAAACACCAAGTGTTTGAGGTATAAGTTTCTGACTTTTAATGCTTTCCAGTTGGTCGGTTTTTCATCTTTATTTCAGGAGCCTTGGTTGACTGCTATGGAGATAAAGGACTGACTAGTAGCTGTCTCGAATTTTGAGTTAAGTGTGTAAAGTAAAGTTTGGGGACTATCATGACATCTCCTGCCTTGCTCTGCAGAGCATGACACTGGTAACTGTTACTCTACAAAATGATGGCTGTTCTCGCACATCTGAGCAACGTAATGGAATCAGAACATTAGGGGGTAAGACATACACCTTTCACAGAAATTACTTTGTAAACAGCTTCTTTGTCTCAGTATTTACTTTTTTTTGGCAGTCAATATTCCTTTTGGCATGGGGCAGACTAGAGAGGATGGAGACACTAAAACTTTAATGATTTATGTTTGTATGATGACTGTAACTTTGTAGTCTTTTTCTATCACATTTGGAAATAATTTTGTTAATAAATTTAGCAATTGGAATGCAGATTTTCTCACTTGCTAGATGTTGTAGCTCCAAGGCCAGGTGAGATAGGTTTAAAATCAAGTACGTAAGTCTTGCATGGAATGTATTTGAATTATAAAAATTAAGTCCTTTCATCATTAGAAAAAAACTTGAATTAAAAAAAAAGCATTATCCCAAAGATCTCATTAAACAATTGGATTTACACCAGTCAGTGGTATTTTAAATAAGGTGTTTTAGAATTCAGCCTTGCATGTAGGGTCTTTAAGAGAAAAGTAGGCAAAACGAGTCTTGATTCCTGAATGTGCCTTATATGCTGTGTGCCATGAACACTGAGGCCATTGCCACATTAAAGCTGTGCTGGTTCTCTGCTGACACAGTGACATTAGTCCTGAGCCAAGAGCATTCACAGGTCATGCCTGCAGCAGGCTTTCTTCAGATGACCAGCAGTGGTCTAATCCTGGAGGGATTGTTTATGGGAGAACAGGAAGAACAGAAGAGCCATGGGTACTGTCCTAGCCATTAACCTCCTACTGCTTTCACATACATCTCATTTGAATCTTGTGATCCCCGAGGCCGAGTTAAGATGCCAAACCTATTTTTTAACCTATTTATTTTGAAGTTGGGAGTTGGCAAACATTTTCTGCAGTGGAGCAGATAATAAATATTTGAGGCTGTACACACCATAGGTGTCGTAATTTGTGTTGTGCAACAGAGGTCATGGTCAACAGGAGTTGGGCACAATTGGGTGCCAATAAAATCTTAATTATAAAAACATGAGATCATTTGCTGTCCGCTGTAAAGCATGAATAAATTGAATAGAGTGGTTTTGGTTTCAGAAAGTGTTATATGGGGATTTTAGGATACATTTTCTAATAGCACACAGGAAACTAATAAAAAAACAACATACCCTTACTTATTTTATGTCATTATAAGTACATTTTATTTAATAAAAATATATTTTGTATTCCTGAGGTCACTTCATTTAGGTCATTTTTCCCACCCCACTGCCCACCAGCCCTGAGGTTTGAGCCAATGTGTGTTCTGTGGTTCTTGGAGCACCAGCCAACTGTACAACAACTGTTATAAAAATGTTTATTGTTTACCAAAACCAGTGGACCTCTTATCAAATGCTGCTTGGTAACAAAATCTTATCAGTTTTAATAATAATAATAAAAAAGAAACAAACAAAGAAGCTAACTATTTGTCTCATTGTCATTAGTTAGACTTTCTGCAAGGTCACTTAATCCAGATTTGTTGAGAGCGTTAATCAGGTTCTCGGGCGTTGCATGCACTCCCTCTTGATCTTGCCAGGCAACGAGGAGCTGTCTAGCTCTCATCTTCATGTCTTCGCTATCACACTCAATCTGCCTAATTTCTGAGTCTTTCATTTCCAGGTAGGGAGCTAGAATCTTCCACTGTTCACCCAACTTGCTGGCATACATCTCTATTTGTTCCCCGGTGACAGGCTTGTCCCGCCGAACATCAGGACCTGGAAAACAGATTGTAAAACAGCTGTGAAGTCCAAGCCTATAGCAGAAATGGACAGCTGGAGGGCCTGACTCATCACCTTACTAGGATTACACTTTCAGTTGAAAGGCAGTTGCAGGGCCCGGCGGCGTGGACTAGCGGCTAAAGTCCTTGCCTTGAACGCCCCAGGATCCCATATGGGCGCTGGTTCTAATCCCGGCAGCTCCACTTCCCATCCAGCTCCCTGCCTGTGGCCTGGGAAAGCAGACGAGGACGGCCCAAAGCCTTGGGACCCTGTATCCGTGTGGGAGACTTGGAAGAGGTTCCTGGTTCCCAGCTTTGGATCGGCACAGCTCTGGCCGTTGCGCTCACTTGGGGAGTGAATCATAGGACGGAAGATCTTCCTCTCTGTCTCTCCTCCTCTCTAGAGAGTATATCTGACTTTGCAATAAAAGTGAATAAATCTGGGCCCGGCGCAGTGGCGCAAGTGGTTAAGGTCCTCGCCTTGCACGCCCGGGATCCCATGTGGGCGCCGGTTCTAATCCCGGCAGCCCCGCTTCCCTTCCAGCTCCCCTGCCTATGGCCTGGGAAAGCAGTCGAGGACGGCCCAAAGCTTTGGGACCCTGCACCGGCGTGGGAGACCCGGAAGAGGCTCCTGGCTTCGGATCGGCATAGCATCGGCCCGTTGCGCTCACTTGGGGAGTGAATCATCGGACGGAAGATCTTCCTCTCTGTATATCCGCCTTTCCAATAAAACATAATAAAAATAAATCTTTAAATAAAAAAATTTAAAAAATGAATCTTAAAAAAAATGAATAAATCTAAAAAAAAAAAAAGAAAGGCAGTTGCAACAGAGCAGAGAGAGGGATCTGGTTCACTCCTCAGACGCCTGCAATGACAGTCCAGAGCCCGGAGCTTCTGGGTATTCAAGTGGGTGCAGGACTTGAGCCATCCTCTGCTGCCTTCCCAGGCACAGTAGCATAGAGCTGCACGGAAAGCCCGGATTCAAGCTGGCACACATAAGGGAAGCCAAGCCTAGAGGTGGAGACACCTAGTAAATTCTTTTAATATTTATTTTTATTGGAAAGATAAACAGAGAGGAACAACTTTTGTCCACTGATTCACTCCCTAAGTGGCCACAATGGCCAAAGCTGAGTTGATCTGAGCCATTAGCCAGTAGCTAGTACCCAATAGCCTCTTTTGGGTGTCCCACACAGGTACAAGGTCCCAAGGCTTTGGGCCGTCCTCAAGTGCTTTCCCAGGGCACAAAGCAGGGAGCTGGATGAGAAATGGGACCACTGGGATGTGAACCAGCATCCATACAGGATCCTGGTGCATGCAAGGCAAGGACTTTAGCTGCTAGGGTTCAACTGGACCCCCTAGTAAGCTTTAGAAGTAAATACATTCACATTTTCCATCAGTTGAAATCCATTCTTGAAAGCATTATGGAAAGTTGTCCCCCTCATATAGAAGTAGGGTATCACCCACAAATCAACTTCTTTCCATTAAAAATATCATTGGGCCTGGTATGATAGCCTAGTGGCTGAATCCTTGCCTTCTATGTGCTGGGATCCTATATAGGTGCTGGTTTGTGTCCTGGCTGTTGGTTCCACTTCCCATCTAGCTCCCTGCCTGTGACCTGGGAAAGCAGTCGAGGACGGCCCAAAGCCTTGGGACCCTGCACCCGTGTGGGAGACCCAGAAGAGCTCCTGGCTCCTGGCTTAGGATTGGGTCAACTTCAGCCGTTGCAGTCACTTGGGGAGTGAACCATCAGATGGAAGATCTTCCTATGTCTTCTCTAAATATCTGACTTTCCAATAAAAATGCCATCACTTCCAAATTTTATTGCATAATTACAGTATTTTTTGTTATTAAGCAATGTTTTTAATTCCTCATTGTCACAGAGTGAGATCAAGTGGCAGATACTGAGAAGCGGTTGAGATGAAAGAACCCAACCCTTTTCTAATTTTGTAACCTGAGAAAATTTAACTCTTACTTTCATTTTCCTTCAGTAAAGCATCATTATCTTCCTCGTCTTCATCTTCACCCGTTTTTATTTCTTCAGAAGGAGGCTAGAAATGAGAAAGAATGTGTTAAAGGAATACTGCTTTCTGAAAGTGAGATAATAGAAGATGCTTTTTAAATGCAGGGGTTTGAGATGCCAAGGCAGGGCCCAGAACTTTCTTCTCAGGCCCATTACAGAGGCTCACAGGTGCAGATTCCCAGCCCCACCCATCACGGACAGGAGGCAGCACGAAGCACGTGCAGCTGGCCTGCAGAGAGCCAGGCCCTGGTGGTTCAGCCTAACAGAAGTCTGAGGAGCAAATGTCCTTACCGTTTTTTTCTGAAGAATTTTATTAGACACCACATAATAGTATAATTACCATGGTGTAATATTACAGTTAGAAAGTAGGCCAAATTTTCTACTAGTCCTCAGCCCCTGGTTTTGATGAAAGACAATAATGGTAAGCAAGAAAAACCTGAGATTAAGGGCAGGAGGGCGGGGTGGCAGCTGACGATGAAAAGTATTGTGGACTTGCATTAAGTATATGTTACAGAGAAATGCTAGTTACTTTGTCATCAATTTACCAGTCTTCAAACATTTTGTTCCTCATTGCAAAAAAAAAAAAAAAAATGCAAGTAAACTTCCAACAGGATAAACACTTAGATTTGCTCATGTCTTTGCTAACAGTGATTACATATTTTAGAACGATGATGATGCCAGCTGAAGAGTATGAGAAAACTGTCCCGCATTACTTACTGGCAACTCCTTGGCTAGCTTTATCACCATGTTTTCCAGGTACTCAGGCAAACTTTTAAACTGCTGGTTGGTTGGCTGGAAGAAGTGAGGGCTTCTCCGTGCTAACAGTCTCAGGGCTCTCCAACCGTAGTTTGAATTGTTCACGGCCCTACGAAGAGATGTCCACTGTGTAATTCAGCATTTGGTTTCTATATTCCCTTCTGCTTAATTCTGTCACATGATGTGGTGTAAACACCTCAAACCCCATCCTCTTCATCCTGTCCTGGGCCCGAGGCCCGTCTCCGTTTCAGTACACACTTGTCAGAGACCACCAGTGTGAAGAGCAGCGTCAGATGCAAGCACATTTAAAAACTTTATGCACATTTTAATTTTGTTGGTTTTCTGTTTACAACACATGAATTTTACTTCACATAATGCCTCCCTTAATGAATAAAAATGGTTCAAACAGTAAGAGATAGCTAGCAGCCAACTGTGATGGCAAGAAGAGGATGTACCAATGTCTCCAGTGAAGCATGGTAGCAACATGTGGACCACAGGAAGTTGAGAGACCTCTGCCAAACCAGAGTAGCGTCTCTACCCACACCCCTAAATTCACTGAGTAGAGATCTGGCTTATTTCATTATCTCTAATAGTAATAACATATAAACAATATAATAAATGCCCTGATAACACTGGAAACTTTTTTCTAAGTTAACACCTGCTGTGAAATTTAGCCTCATCAGTTTAGTACCTTGCTCTTTGACACTTGTGTCCATAGTCCTTACCAACTATGCATGTAAATTTTCTTATTCATGACAGATCCATATCATTCAAGTTCTTGAGAGCATTCTAGAATTAGTACCTTAAGGATGAATCCACCTTTACTGCTACACATACTGGCAAACCAGGGCAGGGGGCGGGCCTGGAGGGGGTTATTGCAGGTCGCTCCAACTAGGCTGCAGCTCCCACTGGTTTATGTGAGGGCCAAGTATGTGCTGGGCAGAACTAGGCTGGACTGCAACACCCATTGGTTCCAGTGCAAGTCGGAAGTGAAAACAGAACCAACCCAGCCATTACAACCACCAGCTGAGCAGGGCGATGGACTGTGCCAGGCCCTGTACTTGCTAGCACATACAAGAAGTTTCTTTGGAGATCTTCCTAATCTAAATGTTGGACTCAGAACCCTTACCAAGAAAAGAGAGAAGACAGAACAGGTCAACCAACCATCTCAGCTATGATGGACTATGTCAACCAGTGGATTTTTCAAAGACCTCATAGTGCTTGGAGTGGCAACATTGGCAGCGGTTCATAACTGTTGAAATATCAAAACCACATGAGCAAGAACCTCAGAGCATTCCGTACATTCGGGACCTGGAGAGGGTGGGAAATTGGGTGGGCCTTCTCCCGTAATTCCCCCCTTTAAACATGAAGGAAACAATATGGTAAAAAATACTAGTCTTATCCACTTTCCTGTAGCCCTTGACCCTTTTTACCCTAATTACCTATGATTGTCAAAAAAAAAAAAAAAAAAAAAAAAAAAAAGAAGAATGAATCCACTTGCCCCTTTAAAACTGAGCACTCAGAGCCAGGCCCTAATCTACACTATAGCCTTACTCTGCCCTGCCACTACTTCTAATTTGCAATAGCATGAAACAAGTACTAAGAGCACCTTACACAGAAGTTGGTTGTTCCCGGGTGGGGGAGGGGTGGGAGGCAGGGACAGCAAGCCCTGAGGGCCAAGGGGAGAGACCGGAGAGAAACAAGACTGGTCTGACAGCTAGAGGAAGTAGACCAAGCAGATGTGGCAGGAGTGAGCAAGTCTGCAACAGACATTTAAAACTGGAAGCAGTAAGCACCATGCACTTTTAGGAACACTGGGTGACACATGGAAAACTGAGAAAGGTTAGACTGCTTGAGTGGTCACAGCAACGACTCCGCCTTACCAGTCATGAATACTGAGTGCTAACCACAAGGTTCAGAGTTAA